ATATATATATATATATATATATATTCTTTTTTAAAAATTTTATGAGCATCACTCTTGAACTTCTTCCCCCATCATGTTGACAGCTGTCAGTCAATCATTGGGGACATAGAAATATACATTCTGATTGGTCAGCTCCTGGACCATCGGCCGGTGAGCCCATGTGGGTCACTTTTAATTTGGATCAATCAGCAGCCACACACATGCTTCTAAAATGACTGACAGAGAACCTGACAAGTCAAAAAAACTTTTTTTTTTTTTTGTTGAGACGTTTTGTCCTTCATCCAAAGGACTTCATCAGTCCGAGAAGCCACATAAAACTGAGTCCCACAAGCAGGCGGTCCAACCAGTTTGCTGGTGATAAGATGGTTTCTGGGACCCGCCCTCTCCCCTGTCGACTCCTCTGAGGCAGCCATGGCCAAAGTGGTTCAAAACTTCAAAGTTCATGCTCAATAATCCAGCTAAAAAATCCAACAAAGTTCAGTCAGGTCATCTGGATGGTTTCTTTCATTTTGTTGTTGTTGAGACATTTCATCCTTCATCCAAATGACTTCATCAGTGAAGGATAAAATGTCTCCAAAATAAAAAAGTCCAGATGACCTGACTGAACTTTGTTGGATTTTCTACTTGGATTATTGAGCATGAACTTTGACGTTTTTCAGCTCATCACGCGACCTCAGAACGACTGGACCCTCATCGCTGTAGGCCCCTGGGCTTCAGCCCAGGTAAACCCATGCATTAAGGCGGCCCAGAAAAGTTGCTCCCAGGAGAGTCACTTTTGTGTGCACGACCCCACCCCACCCCTCCCACCCACGCACAAATATACATGACCACTAACTTATTTTCTTGATTTCGTATAATTTCTCTCTCCCACCCCACCGGCCTGATTTTTCCTTGCCGCATCCTCCCATGTCCTCCTTCCCTCTTCTGCGTCCTAACCAAAGTGACAGACCCAAATTTAGCTCTGGCTCTTTGATGTGACGACCAAACAGATCAATGAAATCAGGGATTTTCTCGCCTGGTTGCAAAACATCAATGATACTAAACAGATCGCAAAGGAAACGAACACAAGCAAAGGTGTGGTATTATCCAAAAGATGACAGGTTTGTTCGGCAGATGACTTCTAAATGAACGTGAAAAAATGAACGCATCTGGAAAACCTAAAAAAATGTTAAAAAAGAAGCACATGTGTAACATGATCTGCGAATCGTTAAAGTTATATAATACAATGTTAGCACAGTAATCAGTTTTTTTTTTAAAGAGTTTGACGTCGCCTGGTGAAAAAAAAAAGAAGACTCCTCACTGCGTCATAAAAATACAGAATGGGCCGACCACTGGGAGAACTGTTGACCTAAAAAAGGAAAGATTTGTCTTTCTTTTTTTTAGTCCGTATAAAGACTAAAAATCTAAAAATTATAACAAAACAGCTGACAACTTCCAAAACTTTAAACCCAAATCTTGTGAACATGCATGTTTTTCTGAGTTTTGTTCAAACACATCCAGCCTTTCTTCTCACAGATACACCAACATGGATAACAGATCCCGAACAGTTACAGCGTGAAGCGTTGTTTCATGGTCGACGTGTTGGAGAGGTGCTAAATTTAGCATATTTGTGTTCCTTTAACGATGCATCCAGTTCTGTCTCAACAATAAAGCTGAGAAATAAACAGATCCATTCTGAAAAGTCATATTACAGCAGGTCTGAAAACATATCCAACATGTAAACATCTCTTACCTTTATATACCCCCAGGAAACAGAGAGGAGATAATTCGCTTCGGGCATTTTGACAAATGAACAAAGTGAATCCAGAAACAGAAACGGTTTAAAACTCCGTGTTTCGCTCGGGCGCTGGAAAGCACTCGACAGTCATATAAAAGAAAAGCAGTTTGTGCTTCTCTCCAGCGAACAAACCTCAACCTTAGGAGACTCCAGAGCTTAACTCGAGTCAATCAGCTGCACCGAGTGCACGAACGAAGCTCCGAGTCCACGTCCTGCATACATCCACAGATACGTGCCCCAGAAAGCAGGGCAGCAGGGAAGAATCTGGCAGAGAAACGGCAGGAGCGTGGCTTCCAAAAAATCCAATGAGAGCATATTGTGAACACGCACAAGCATATGCACGCACACACTCAGATCCGGGGACACACCGCTGAGGCTCTGAATAAATCACGACGGAGTGGAAGCTTGTGTGTGCCAAAGCAACAGGACAGCAAAATCTTTCTATCAACTCCTCCCTAACAGGACTGGCTGCCTACTTGTGTGTGTATGACACATGCTCCCATGTGAAGATCACAGGCTGCCTCTTTCACCGTGTCACACAGCGGCAGCAAATCAGGGCTCAGATAGAAAAGAAGCGTGAGCTCATCATCACCTCTAATTGCCTTGGATTGGAACAAACTTGAGGCGACCCACTGTTTGATCGGCCTCCACTGAAGTCAGTGGAAAAATCGACCCTCTTCCCCTTTTTCCACCTTTAATTCCTGCAGTGCAGCAGGGCGGTGTTTTGCGTACATGTGTTTAGTGCATAAACATGCAACAGGACGTGTGCACATGTTTGCATGTTGGCTGGTCCAACCTTTTGTACATCACGATGTGAAAGAACAGGTTACCTCATCGTGCATGATACAACAGTAAAACACTGAGGTCACCCTCTACCCCAGCATCCATGGGAGGTGAGTCATGCCAACATCATCGATGAGATGATGTAAACACATTCTTGTTTTTTAACAAACATTTTCCTTTAAAAAGACTGAGCGTCACGGTCGGCTGAAGTGGGCTCAGTAGGACAGAAAGGGTTGTGTCCACACACAGGTTGCTTTAGAGAAAAGATTAGAATAATGGAAGAGCATACGTTTTCTCATCATGAACAGAACGTTCAGCTTGAACGCTTTGAATTTCTGCTTCGTTCATTTGAATGACCTGGCAAACATGAAATAAATGCCACATTATAAACTGTGACATGTAGAACTAATCTAATCATTTAAAAAAAAATGACACAATAGCTACGACATGATACAACTTCATAAGTATTTCCTAAAAGTAACCAATATTTTAACAAAAGAATTGGTGGGTGCACCTGACCTCAAACAAACAACCAAACAAAATTAAAAAAACATATTTTGTGTGAGGGTGCCATTGTTATTTCAAGGTCTTTCTATTTCAAAGTCATCTCCAAGGTGAAGTCTTGAGTCTCCTTCAAAGACAATAAAAAGCTTCTTCATGATTTTATCACCTCGTGTCTAGACTAGTCTAAGGCGCTGTATGTCAGTCCAGAACACACAAA